GATATTCTCATGTATTTGCTTGTCTATGTCGATAATTTATTACTTACTGGCAATAATGAACCTTCCCTCTCATTATTCATTAATCATCTTGCCTCCTCTGTTGTCAAAGATCTAGGATTACTATACTATTTTCTTGGTATAGAGGTCCACTCCACCTCCACAGGTCTACAACTCTTGCAGTGCAAATACATACTCAACCTTCTTCACAATCTTGCAAATTCAAGACCAGTTACTACACATCTTCCTGCACATTCCTCTCTTTCCAAGTACGAAGGACAACCTCTAGATGACCCCTTCGAGTATCGTAGCATTGTTGGTTCTCTAGAGTTGGTTCTCTAGAGTGCACCTATCCAAGAGGACTCTTTTTGTAAAGATAAAACTTAAATTAGACAATCCTAGATAAATTAGGATTGTGTTCTAGATAATCCTAGATAAGCTAGGATTAGTAAGAGTGTTCTGATATAATTCTAACTCCCAATAATCATGTATAACCATGACTCTTAGTGTATATATTGACCACATGACATCATTGAAAGCATCAACTTTTTGCTATACAATTTATCTTCTTTATCTCTCTTCTACTTGTCTCCCCCGCTATTTGTGTTTGTATAATCAGCCACTTCTCAAATACCACTTTGTTACGTGATTTCCAAAATAAACCACATGATTATCACCCCTCTAGCAAAGACTAGGAGCAAGGATAACCCATCATGATATTCATCAATGCCGGTTCAGCATTGAATGAGAGGACTCCTTTGTAACATCTTCATAGGAGCATTTTAACATGGGGAATTAAACATTTCATTTTCCATAGACCTTTCTAGCTGAGTCATGGACTAACCCAGGCAGCATTAGAAGATTCCGAAGTATTGTGCCAAAGAAGTTTGTACCTAGAGTTGTAGGGTAGCGACCATGAGGTGTTTGGGTCCAAACCAATTTATCTTCAATCGAAGGGTCGATGTCTGGGATTGAGATCTATTGGATTCTTTGGATGAGCTCCTCATCAAATAAAGTCTTCAATAAAGGAATATTCCACCCTGAAAATCTTGACTAGTGATCATTACCACTTTGCTACAAGGTAAAGTAGACCAGTTAGATGGTTTCTTTATCACCCCCATAGAGATCCAAGGTTCTTTAAATTAACCATCTACAACCCTTGAGCATATCACCCAAGAAAGCAAGCTTATCCAAAGTGGAGAGTTAAAAGCCTCAAAACTATATTATTTATTTCCATTTCAAACATTTTCTAAGGATTTTAATACAACAAATGAAGGTGATGTGATTAGAATTTTTAGAATGTTTACAATGATAAAGAATTAAAGATGTGTGCAAAGATATCCTACTTCTGACCATTTTAGGCAACGAATGATCGACCAAATGAAGTATGCTTTAAACAATCCGTAACTTTCTATTGAAAGCCTTTTTGTTGTATTCATGACCAACTCGTAGGCATCATGCTGTAGCTCTATTTACTATTTCAGTATGTTGACTAAAATTTTGTGTATTTAATTAACATAAAATATAGAGACAAATTACAAAATAAATTTATAATGAAGAAAAATACAATGGATTTGACCTCTCTTTCAATCTACTCGATGGTATGAGCAACCTCTGATTAATGGTCTGAAATGATGAAGATGAGGATTGTTGGCATGTTTCTCATATTTCTTAAAGCCTTGATACAAATTTCATTGACTTTGGTGCTTTTGCAAAGTTGGTGTAAGTGTCTTCACTCTAAGCTTTGTGTTTGATCAATTATAAAGAATGCTTCCTTAAGAAGGGCCTTTTTACAATGGCTTGATCTTCTTCAAAAAGCTTGAATCCAAGTGTGAAGTAAAGAATCAAGAAGTGTATTTCCTTCTTTCTTCTCTCTTGATGTTGGATTTGAAGTTGAAGTTTGCAAGGGCTTGTGGTTGCTAGAAACTCTCAAGTATTGGTGTGAGTAAATGAGAACTTCTGTAAATGTGACTATAAAAGAGAGACCCTCTTTCTTCCTAAGCAAAGCAATTTATAACATAGGATTGGGGTTACCACCTCAGCCCACTTTGCTAACCAATCTCATGTAAGTGGGTTGTTGGATTAGGGTTAACTCCTATACATGCTCCATTATGTGGGAGTTAGTAGTCTTACTAATGAGACCACCCTATTACAATAGGACATGGGCCTAATCGGACTTGGTACACCTGGATTCTTAGCCCATGAGTCATATTTATGTAAAGTTGGGCCTTAGGCCCATGGAGGCCCATATTAACTTGGGAGGGCTACCATGTAAATCAAGTCCACTTATCTGGCTTAAAAATTTAAATTTCTAAAATTCCATTTTGTTGTTTTTGTGCTCTGACCAATATGTGTAGTAAAGCCACAAGGTGCTTCAACCACTATCACCTTTGCATCAATGGTCCATCTTCTAAGTATATAGTGTGGGGGCACCATCTTGATATTTCTATATTCAAGTTCTTTCAATGCATGTGCACATAAAACTCCAACAAGCTCAAACTTCTTGCAGTTGCAATTGATCGAATAATCTAATGAATTAAAAAACAACATATTGACCATTTTTTCCACACACACCAATTGTATATTTTGGCCCCATTTGGTTCACAAGAATATGGGTCTAGAATCAAAATAGGAATGGGCTATTCTGATTCCAATTGTTTGGTTGGGTGGAATCGGAATTTCATTCCCATTCCAACATTCCCCCATTTGAGGGAATTTTTGCCCCTCCCTCGGGAATGAAATCTCACTCCTATTGATTTCAATTTTCATTCTCATTCCTATCTGAACCAAACAAATTATGGGAATAGACTATTTCAATTCCGATTCCAAAGGATTTCGATTCTGATTCCAAACAAACATATTCCAATATCTCTATTTTTATTGGCAAGTTCAGGGTACTCTATGTAGATGCAAATTAAACTTTAAATACTTCATACCGCCTGTCATTAACCACTACTTCAAGATGTATAAAGAACCTTGACAAATCATGTCTAATATTGAGATATTTCTTAAGACAACTATCCATACTCTCGTTTCTCTATGTTGTGCTCGTGTCATTAAAAAATGCATGTCACCCAAATACTAAACCCCATTTAAACAACCATTTAAAAGTATCTAAGGTTTGCTATCATTTGTCTATCAGCCCAAAAGAAATTCGTTACCAGATCAGCTAGGTCCAATTGTATTGCATATACAGATGTGTCTTCTAATTGCATGTTTTGAAATTAGTGAAAAAAAAAACACATGCCTCTCCCTTCTTCATATTCCTGGTCTGACGTCTACAAGGGCTTTGACCACCTTGTTGGTTACCACTTTTATATGATAGAGAAAATCTACGATGCCAAAAAGACATGATACCAAAAAATATTTGACCACTCAAAACCCACCTGTGAATTTTGATAAATTACCACCTAATTGGTTAACACGTCCATGCTACCAACTGATTGATCACACAAGTTTTTCAGAGTTTTTCCACTATCATAGTTGAACCCTTTTATTAAAGAGCCATTGGTTAAAGTTTTAAAAAATTATTTTCAATATGAAATTCAATATTAAAGTCATTTTTACCTGTCCTTCAAACAATCATTTTTAGTTTATTTTATTAATAACATAATACTTTAATCATTTTTAAGTTAATTTATTAATGCTATTTAATATCCAATTACAACATCACGCTAAATATTAAGAGTTTTCAGCATCACGCTAAATATTAAGAGTTGTGGCCTTTAAGTGTATGAATTGTTGAAAACAATACTTGATTTTTTGCATATCCGGAATATCAATAATATAATACTTTGAACAATGATGGAAACCCAAATTCAATTAAAATCCAAATATAACTGAATCAAATGTCGGTATGGTGTGTTTCAGAAATACCATCCAAAGATGATTCGAATATGCAAAACAATAGATTTTTTGTTTGGATTCATCCACACCACCACATGCTGGAGTTATTTTTTATAAATAAGATAAATAGTAAAATAATATGAATTAGACATAATTAAAAATAATAAGAGATTTACATTAATACATATATTAATGTATTAATGTACAAGGGTATTTATGATAGTCCAATTATTGTTCCCATTCTGTGGTTCTTTTTCTTCTAAAAGCTTATAAATAATATGGCATTAGCTTACATTGTACTTTCTTCTCTAGGTATTAGGGTGTCTCAGCAGCAAATATCAAAGTGGAGAAAATATGTCAATTTGTATGTATAGAGAGATTTTTTATTTTATTCTTTTCTTCTACTCTTCTACGTAATTACTACCAAGATTTTTGGGAAATTGCAATTTTAGGATATACATGGATCTCCATTTAAGATTGTTAGGGAATCAATCCTGGCTGTTGGTTGTTTTTTTCTCATTCCTTGAGCTGGGGGGGGGGAGCGGAGTGTTATTCCAACGGTCCAAAATCCAAATTATACTACACAAAAGCCAGCAAAAACAGATACCCTCAAATTGGAACAGACTACCCTCAGATTGGAACAAGCAAGCTCAAGAACAGACGCAAGAGCAAAAGCAAATTTGGCGAATCAACCTTAGCACTTCAATAGCAGAATATGGGCATCCATTGTACATATTTTTTTATAAGAATTGATGATCTGAGCCATACAGATTACAGACAATGGAAAGAAAGAGCTCAAAGAATGAGAAAAAACAGCCTACAGCCAGGATTGATTCCCTAACAATCTATTTAAATGGAGACCCATGTATATCCTAAAATTGCAATTTCCCAAAAATTTTGGTAGCAATTACCTAGAAAAGGGCAGAAGGAAAAAAATCACTTGCATCGAAAATCTACCTAGATAGACAAATTGACATATTTCCTCCACTTTGATATTTTTGCTGCCTGAAACAGCCCAGTACCTGAAGAAGAAAGTGAAATGTAAGCTAATCCGATATTATAAGCTTTTAAAAGAAAAAGAACCACAGATGGGGGGGACAATAATAGGACAATCATAAATACCTGCTATGAACAGCATATCCACCAACAGCATTTTGTATCTGGCAGTGGCCCTTGGTAAAATTAGCCACCACTTGTGTATCCATATTTCCTAACTATATATGAGTTTATGAATTTCTTCTAGGCAAACAGCAAGTGAAATCAACAAAAAGGCTTATCAACAAAATGATCTTACGATCCCAAAATGAAGGCATGTACTTCAGCCCAACTAGAGACTGTGTAAAGAATGCCAGACAGCCCCTTCCAATTAGAAGAGTTGCCTTCAAATTCTCTCTGCTTCTTGACCAAACCAGAGAACAATGGAACAAATGAAACCCCAAACTGTCTCCCCACTCTCCTTAAACTTGAGCTCGACCCAACCACAAGGCCAACATCTGCTTCAAGCAGGCAGAGTAAATCACCAACTGAGCCTCCAATGTAGATAGACAAATGCTTTTTTTCACCATTGTGATTCTTTAGAATATTTTTGAAAGCTTGAAGTTTGTCCAAGGGTGACTCCATCTTCTGAACAATTTCACCCGTGGAGATGGAATCTTCATAAGTGAATTCATTTGCATGTACACTTAAAACGTCCAAATCACCTGGTCAAGAAAACAAGTATTGAATTCTTTATCGCCTTCAACAATACTGCAACAGTAAAGGAAATAAAGGTGCTAAAGGAACCAGCTTTTTTCTTTTTGCTTTTGTTGGGAAGAAGGGGGCATGTTTTCCTGATCTTCAAATTTCATACTGTAATTAATTTTAATTGTTTGATGACAATATGAAAGATGTGGCTTATATCAGTAACAAGGATAACAGGAGAACAACCAAGTTTCAACAAATCCTATAATCCTTGTAAAGCATGAATGATATCCAAGTGGAGATAACATCATTGTACTTGCTACACTCAGTCCATTGGCACTCGTACGCATTTACAGTTACACCAGTACAAATGATATTCACACAGAACAAAAGGAACCTTAAGGAGAATCTTAGCCAGGTTTCACAATAAGAAACAAATAAGAAAGCACTGTGACTCATTTTGCCAGACTCAGTGTAGAAATTTCTGCTAAGCCTCAGACAGCAACTAGATATTATCCATAATTATGAACACATCCACCAAATAACCGCAGCAATATGGAATATACTAGGTCCATCCAGGTTTATAGCTTATGGATGCAATAGGTAATCACAGTAACCCTTTTCATTGGTGACTGTAACTTTATTAATATATTGGAAAGAATATTATGCAGTTATGCACATAATGATGAAGTGACTATGCTCAATACCCCTATTGGCAGCATGCTTACACTGGCTGCCAGCCCTATACAATCAGTTATCAGGTAATCACAATAACTTGAATATCACATCTTAAGATTCTATGGTCTATCAACTATATATCATATTTCTTAACTGCATTAAAAAAAGCAGAATATCAACAAAAATCAGCATGTCATAGTAGAGCCAAGAATCAAATAACTTGTTACAACATCACTCTTCCTTTCTATGCAGTTCATCAGTCTAACTGAACTGATCATAAACATGCTGAAATTTATTTCTCATCAACAAGTTGTAGAAAGAAAATAACACAATATTTAAAAGAGTCAACATGAAGTCAAGTATCAACTGTAAAACTATCCAGATATTTTTAACACTTTTTTCCTGTTTGAGTTTCTGAAAGGATTGAAATCCAGAAATATTGCACCAGTAAAGATGGACACAAGAGGATAGATAATGCAGAAGAGGCACACAAGCATACAATTGCAAGATGTGCAAATAGGTTTCATTAAGTTACACAGTTCTAAATTCCTAACAGAAAAAAAAAAGTACCTGATGAAAAAGCTGACCTAATGAGATCACCACACCAACAATAAGAAAGTATATGGACATTTCCATTTATCCCTTCGTTCTTCACAATCTTCTGGAAGAACCTCGTACAACCGTCCTGAAGTATAAGACGCTCACCAGCCCGTTTTATGTCTTCCACATTCAAACCCTTCAGCACTCCTGACTCAACAACTCGTGCATTTGCACGTTTTTCAAAGTCTAAGAGTTGCTCAAGTGCTTTGCATAAACCTTCATAGTCAAATTCTTCCACTGCAAAGCCATAGGAAGTTGAAAGTGTAAATATGACAATCTTAGTAGCATTAAACCACTGCAAAACCACAGGAAGTTGAAAGTTACAATCTTAGTAGCATTTACTTTTATAAGTTAGACCAATTTAAACCTTGATGACAAGAATCATAGAGTGGATCAGGAATATGGAGCAGAAGTGTATGTCCTGTTTTGCCATACGGGTTGGCTACCGCTACAGATTGCTTCTTCTTACAGGTGCTATAGGTGGTCTTCTATGCACATAAACAAACCATCTTAATCTACTTTCTCTCATTTTATTACTTATTGGTGATACTCCTAGGTTCCTACTAATGACTTCATTTCTGACCATATCCTTTCTAGTTTTTCCACTCATCCATATCAGCATGCACCTTTCTGCCACACTTACGGAATTTTCCTTTTTAACCCAAGTGGTATTCGCCAATCACATAAGACACCAGATGCATCCCCTCCATTTTTCACAATCTGCTCTAAAATCTATGGGGGGAGAGATGAGTTCAGAACACCTACCAACAAAACATGTTCCACCACCCTACCAACATCATCTGACACCACACATCTCATACATGACAGATCCAACTTTTATGGTGGGCCCCACTTTCACAGTGAGATGTGCAGTGTCAGATCAAGCTGGTAGGGTGTTAGAATGTGTTTTGTTGGCAGGTGATCCCAACCAAGGTTCAAAATATCGATACAGGCCATACACTGGTAGGGGCGTATCGGCCTGTATCGAAGCTTGCTCTCCCCCCCTTTTCTTTGAAACTGGTTCAGAGGGGTCGGCTTAAGGCTGGTCTACCCCCTGAACCAGGTCAGACCCCGATACAACCCCTGTAGGGGCATATCATTAAGCCACCGATACGATACGATACACCCGATACAGGGCGTATCATGTCAAAATTGACAGGGATAGAGACAAAGACAAAGACACACAAACACGCAAGAGATAGAGAGGTTTTGTCTCTTGTGGATTTTGTTAGAGAGAGAGATGATGACATGGAAGTGGGATATATATTCGGAGCCAGTTTAAGGTGGCTCCTCATGTACCCGCTCCAGATTCTGGATTGAATCCCACTTGAACAATTCTGGAAATTGAAGGTTGAACATAGAAAACAATGACTGAAACTTTGGGGTGTGAGTACCATTGAAGAACAGCATAAATCTACCTTTCTCAGTGGGCATGATGTTCTCTATGCATTGTTCATATTCTTCTGTATACTGTTTGGAAAGAACACCCCATGTATTCCTCAGATCAGTTGATGACTTCCGAACAGGTAAATTTTCAGCTCCAATCTGATCAGCTTTCGGTGCACTAAGTATTGCAATCTCCGCTAAAATGGCGGAGGAATCAACAACAGTGCAAGTCCAATCAAAATCAGAAAATATAATAAGTTGATACTCTGCAGGGTTGTGCACTCTTGAAAAAGGGACTATAGTTTGCTGAACAATTGGTTGAGCAGAAAAAAATTCTATTTCAAGTTTCATAGCTTGATGATAAAGATTTTCTATGACTTCAAGCTCTTCACCAGTCAAAGACACACTTAGTTTGTCAAGCAATTCCTCAGTTTGCAGTGTCAATGCCTGATTCCATTCAGAAAGAAAATGATATATCAGAATAAAGCCTTTGTATGCAAGTAAAATACATATGGTATGATCAACCACGGTATGAGTTTAAACATCATAAAAAAAAAATAATAATAAGTGGTTAAAGATTGCTAATAGGACAAACCTCAAAAGCTTCAGAAGAATAATTTTCAATCCACTTCTTGTAGAGGTGACTGCTTTCATTAGGATCAAGAAGTGCCCAGAGCTCCTTACCCAAAAAGGCATATAGCCTCATGAAAGGTGTCATTGCACCTAGTGTGTAAGCAGCAATTTTTGTCTTCTCAAAAGGAGTTGCAATTTTACCAGGAGCTTTTAGTCCTTCAACCTTCCCAGAGGCTGTTGCCAACAAGAAATCTGTGTATTTTAGTGTTGCAGAACTTGGAGTGCTTTCATTTGCAGGGTCAACACCCCATTCCTGTGTAGACGATTCCTTTCAGAACACGTATTTCTAAAGGAATCCAAATAAACTGAAAATTGTTCAAAGAAAAACTCCTTAAAGATATGGTATGTAACAATAATATTTGGATTTCGTTTTCTCCCATTGACAGTAATGTAGAGAGGCCTCAGATGACAACAGAATTTGCCATCTCAAGCTAACCTCAGCATAAGACAAGGATGATGACTTGGGCACAACCCTCATTAACAGTCACAAAGTAATCTCTGAAAGGATAAAGATGCAATCACATACTAATCAAGCAAAATCAGCAAGACTAAGATACAAGCCAGAAGTGTAAACTACATAATTCAACTAAAAGCATCCAACTAACAAGCTAATAAAAAATTATCCGTAGCATAACTGACATCTCAAACCTCCCAAAAGGAAATAACTCCAAAATGTTGTCCTATATAATGAAATCATCATTATCTAAATTCTAAGCCTTGTACCAACTATATGGGGTTGGCTACATGGATCTTGTTTCATAATTCCATTCTATCCAGTGCCATTCAGGCAGTGTGGCTTAACCACAACCAGAATTAACCAGCTAAACATGATCCAAAATAAAGTTGGACTAGGGTTGTTAACTGGAACTCATTAATCAATGTTCCCAACCCAACTTGTAGGATCTGGATCCAACACCTTTATTCATGAGTTGGTTTAGGTTTGTAGACGGTCTTATTAATTTTTAGATTTATTATTATTTTCTGATTTATTCATTGGTTATGTTGGCAGAGTACTTCTATCATTTTTTATAAATCAATTTACAATAGTTTAAATAAAAAAATGTACATAACTGACAAGATCCCTTGGGGTATTTCTATAATTCAGTCTAGAACCTTCATATATGGGATATATAATACACACCCAGATGAGTTTGGTTTTCCTTTTCTCAATTTTTCTGTCTATGTTCTCTCCCTTGATCTAAATTTTCTAGTTTGTATTCTGTTTTGATTATTGAAATATTGTTTTTCAAAACAAGATGGAATCAGAGCAAAAAGAAGGCTCTGATGATGATGATGGTGATGATGGTGATATTGATAAATGATAATGATCAGATCTGAAGTTGCTTCTGATCTCCATTTTGCTGTTGTTCTTGGTCAGTTTGAATCCAGTTCTTATTTAGCTTCCTTAGTGTGTACAATATCTCCAGACCTCCCTTGCAAGCCTTGTTAGTTTGGTTTCCCTGTTCTGAATCTTTGCCTCCTCTTGAGTTTTTGCTATCAGAGATTCGGAATTTCCTCTTTTTATAAATAGTAAGTCATGAGTTATTACTATAATTCTGAGAATTACTAAAAATAGTATGTAAATTACTCTGAATATTAATTTTGTATTTTCCATACTTATTAATTATCATCATTTTTAAATTTCCTGATTTTCAGAGGATTTTTTGAGTTTTTCCAGAATTTTTTTATGCCTAGGAAAGTATGCTAGAGATTTTTTCCCCAGAATTTCAAAGAAAAAATAGAGATTTGCTTCAATTTTGATAATTACAACACAGGATTTGTTTTCTTTTCCAGGTGGCAATTTGGTATTGTTTGGTCATTTACATATTTCTGCAGAGGTAGGAAGTGACAAAGAGATTTTCTGTAAAGTAGGCGGAAAGAGGGAGAAAGCACCCATCACTTCTCCCTCTCTATTTTAGCATCAACTTATATTGGGGCTATATACCTACAATATTTTGGGGATTGAATTCCTAGTTTGTTGGCTGATATTGGTGGAAATATTATGTTCTTTTTTTTTTTTTGAAGAACTAATTGAAGGTTGGCTAGTCTCAAGGGAAGAGCCTTAAAACTTTGCCCAAAAATCAAAAATCAATAACCAAAAGAAAGTTTCCTTTTTAGGTTCAACATATTGGGTGGAATCTGTTGTGGATGCGCACGAGTCCCTATAGGGTGATTTGGGTTCTTGAGGTTTCCAAGGCATATAGAGAAAGTGCTCCCCCCACCTCTTCAGTTTCTACAGTGATTTGTACCCCATGTACAGGGATTGTAGTTATTTTTGGAAACTGGTCCACGAAGTTGATTTTGAGTCAATTATAAAGATAGCCTTATTTTCAAGCTACGAGGAAAAGTTCAAATGCCCATCTGAAGGTTGGAGGAACATCTAATCTGACAATTACAAGCCAGGGGAAGCGATTCTTTGATTATGAGCTCATTTGTTTTGGCTAAAGATCCTTATTGATGTGTGTTGCTGACATGTCCAAGTGTTTCTGGCACCAAGATTCATTGTACCTTGCACATGTTCAATGCAAGGTTTAAAATGTCAATGCCAATAGAAATGTCAGTAGTCCAGATATAGGAAACATGTCGGAAATATCATATGGATATATTGTAAAAATTATAGACATAGTGGAAACATTGTAAAATATGTAAAAATAATAAAATATAGAATGATGTTTTATGAAATGATAAAAGAAGCATTGACACGCCTTTTTAAATTATTGTCTTGCTTCAAATCATTAAACAAAGCTAAGAAACTAGGGTTACAGACAAAATAATATGTTGCGAAGTTATCCTATAAACCTTAAGATTCAAAACTACATAATAGAATGTGTTAAAAGATCAAAATTTAAACTCAAAGAAAATGCAAATTATTCTAAAAGATCAACCAAATATTCTATTATACAAATAGAAACTAATATTTAACTTGGGTAGCAACATGAAATTCCCCAGTGAACGCTACCAGTACTATGCGGAATACAAGAGATAGTATTATAACATAAGTTGGTGACAGTATTGTAGATATGTGGAGTAGCAATATTCTATTATATAAATAGAAACTAATATTTAACTTCATGTTTGAAATGAATATCAAGCTAGCTCAAACATTTTGCAAGCAATAACATTGCTACCCCACATACCTACAATATTGTCACCAACTTATGTTATAATACTATCTCTTGTATTCCGCATAGTACTGGTAGCGTTCACTGGGGAATTTCATGTTGCTACCCATGGATGGAAATATGTCATGGAAATATTAGGAAATTTATGGACATTTTAAATCATGTAATTCTTGAAAAGTTGTATGTTTTGATTAAGGGGAAGTATTGGTTATATTTTTGTTTTATTATTGGATCGTCAGATTATTACATTCATAGTTGTCAAGGTGTCACCTAGGCGTCGCCTAGGTGACTAGGTGCCCTTGGCTGGGCGCTTCGCCCAAACGCCTTGACTTTTAGCAACTAGGTGCCCTTCTAGGCGACTAAGTGCCCGCCTAGGCGACAAAAATGACAAGGCGGGAACCTTTTATAATATCATTTATATTGTTGTATCTTATTAATTATGTGTTAATACATTTTATTATATGTTATATATATATATATATCAATTATACTTTGTTTTAATGTTTTACTATTGAATTTTAAAAGATCAAAGGGTTTTGAGAAGAGAAAAAAGACAGAAAGAAAGAAAGAAAGAAAGAAAGAAAGAAAAGAAAGAGGAAAGAAAGAATAGAATAATAAAGTTCTTTCCATCTTGAATATTTATCATATAAAGTTAATAACCTTCTTTAGCTGCTAGTTAATATGAATTTGCTCTATTAAATACATATTATAGTAGTATTATTTTTGAAAATAATGAAATTAATATATGTAAAAGATTTTTACCTTTTAGATGTGATGATTTGCCACATTTTTAGAGGAAATTTTATGTTCTTTTTTTTTATGAATAAAATTTAACATTCTTAATAAAGAGAATTGCTATTTTTTCAATTAACATACATGCTGAATGGTATATAAAACTAGGAAACAAGCCAAAAGTCAGTTTTTTATATTATAAAATTTTTATCGCCTAGGCAACTAGGTGACTAGGTGCCCTAATGTCGCCTAAAATCGCCTAGACGCCTTGAAAACTATGATTACATTATTTGTTTTCAAACAGGCTAGCTGGTACAAGATTGAGGGGAGTGTTGACATTCTTAGTCATCTTTTAGTTTCACTACTATTTTCTGTTTTACCCATTGATTATGGTGGCAAGGTATTTCTATCATTTCTATCATTTCTATCATTGATTATGTTTGGCAAAGGTCTTCTCTAGTCTTAATCCCCCTGTGTGCTTTCTAAATCTCTATAAATAATCCCCTTCTTATATGTTTAGAATAAATTCCCTCAAATGAAGTCATCATCTTTCTGGCAGATCTTATTTGATCAAAATGCAAGCCTTTTCTCTAGGCTCTTTTTTGGGCAAGAAAATGATGATCTACTAGTAAAAGGCTGAAAGTTTTTTAAAAAATACTATTCTTTTCTAGGCATATTCATGCCACTAAAAATTCATTGTTTGCTTTTCTGAAATCTGAATGATTCTGTTGTGCCATGATAAGTAAGAACCTAGAAAGGAAATGTTGAAGCTACAGTTTGGCAATGGTTATAAATGCTTGGCTGATAAGAGGTGTCAAAAACAATATAATATATGGTGTCTGAAATATTATTTTTTATCAATAACGAATAAACTTTATTAGAAAATTAAGCCAATTACAAGGAATATGTCTGAAATATTCTTTAACAAGGATACGCGAGAGAATTGAAGTTAAGAGTCAGAACAAAATCAAAATGGCAACCAATGCAAAGTTTCTAGTTCACTAAATGGGGTGAAACCCATCCCCAAAACCATAGTTCTCAAGGTGACGCCTAGACAACAAGACACCCATGGAGGATTGTGCTCGCTTTTTGTACAAGGAGCTTTATAATATTTTTTCTGAGATTGTAATAGTAAAATAGATGTTATTACACTAAATTAATCATTTTGTAAGTTCATATATTAGTTTCTTTTTATTACTTTCTTATTTGCTAGGGAACACACATGTTGGTTCAGGCTGTCTCATACCATTGAAGACTTTGAAACCTAAACAGATAAGCAAGGAAGAACTTAAAATTTTATTCAATCTTCTTCTCCCTTTATATTCTACTTTCTCTAGGTCAAAAACAAGGGCTCAGCCCTTATGTTCTTTGAATTTTCTTTTCTTTCTTCTTTTTTCTCATGATAATGTTGATTTTGTATATTTTTACATTAAATTTATACTTATTTGATGAAGATTTAATTACTAGAAAAATGATTAAGTAAAAAACCATCACCTAGGCAACAAGGTGCCCTGCCTCCTAGCCTTGCCTTGGTGCCTTGAAAACTATGCCCATAATTCCATTCATAGTCAATAACTTCAATCAACCTCATTTTCATCACATAGCCTTACTCCAGTCGTTATCTCCGCAAAGCCTTCACGATATAAAAAAGAGGTCTAAATAATGTAAATATGTAAGTGATTTGTTACAAATTGATGTGCTAGAAGAGCTAGGGGAAGATCAAAAAGGGAATGGGTTGGTGTAGTAAGGAAAGATTTAAGAGCTCATAATTTAACAATAGATATGGCACTGAACATAACTGAAAGGTAAAACAGGATTCATGTTGTCAACCTCATATAGTTGGGACAAGGCTTAGACAATGTTCATGATGACAATGAAATAATGTGAATACGTCAAAGGTTTTTCAAATTCATCGGATCAAATGTTAAGTGGAAAGTAAGTCATCTTCTACTACAATTTAGGATGCCCATGACACAGTGTGATCCCTTGTACAACTCTCAACCTCTCATTTTCCTTCCAATAATTTTTCAACCTAAAAAAGGGGAAAAAGGCATGCAATCTAATAAAACAACCATTGGAGGGAATTTTATTGAAAATGATACACCATTGTTGGGCCAATATTTTTTCAGTCAATTTTAACAGTTTCTCTGTGTATTGCTCATGCATATCGATGATCAAAAAGTAATATTGATCATGCATATCCATCTTAATAGATTGATTATCTTCCATCTTAATAGATTGATTATCTTCCATCTAAATGAGATAATAGTGCTCCATGAGTCTCGGTCAGCAAAACCAGTAGAATTCTTCGTTCCGAGATTCTTTTGGTCACACAAGCCTACTTAACTTCCCTAAAATACAGCTGATTCTAATGATCAGAAAGTGTGAGTTGGTCACAGTAGAGAAATTTCCAATATCTAAATGTGTGGTTAATTTAAGTTTTTAAGGGGAAAACCAAATAGAAGTGTGAAAGGAACGGAAACGAGTTGACATCTTTTACAATTAGGTACCTCAGTCAAAAGTTGTAATATAGATTGATGAAGAAAATAATTAAACCTTGGAAGTTAAGAATATAGATAGTTCCAAAATTTTATAGTGTATAGTGTATTTACATCAGTTCTTGGTGATCTATTAATCTTTTTCGAAGTCCCAGGTCTGACAAATTCACTAAGATAATAGACTTCGGACTCTGATAAAACTCAAAACGTTTCAATCATCACATTCGCAGTTTTATCAGATCGTAGTAGTAAAATCTTACAAGAAAGGCAAGCACGGATTCAAAGATTTTTAAAGAAATAAATGAAAGAAAGGGAATACGTAAGCTTACCCGAACAAAAGAATCGTGCATTTTAATCTCCTCCATTACACACTTCCTCAGCTTGCAGATCGCAGATTTTTCTTCGTCATCGTCTGCACACTCATCCGCTAATGCGTATCTAATATACAACCAACGATCAATCAAAATCCAGACGAACCGCCGCAACCGAAAATTAAAAAATAAAAAAATAAAAAAAATAAAAAACTAAATCAAGAACTCCAGACCAAAAATGATCAAGAAAGAAATCATCTAGAGACTCACGCCTGCGCAAAAGCCCTAAGGAAATGCACGTCTTGGGCGATATAATGGCGGAACGTCTCTAATTGCAACTTGCCAGACGCCAAGCAGATAATGAAAGGAGTATATATAGCGAACACTGATTCATTCCTGAACTTGATCCAGAATCGCCTAGCCAATGCTTCTTCATTCGTTGTTGCCACCACACCCATCGCTGCCGTCGTTTTCGTCGTCGTTGTTGCCGTCGATTTGTCCGGTTCAAATCAAGAGAGTTCAAACAATGCTTAGGCGGGAATCTAATACTACCGGAAGAAGATCGGAGCAAGGATTTGAGAGAACCCGAGCAACCGAATCTGAACACAGAGAAAGAGATGATTACAAAGCTAGGGTTCTTGCTTGAATTTAAGAAGAGACGCATCAACAATGCCGATAGAGAATGAGAGAGCGAGAGAGGTGTTAAGTGCCTTCATTTCTGTATTTATAGATTTGTTCCCTCTCACGAGAGAGAGAGAGAGAGAGAGAGACGGCGGACGGCGGAGTTTACTTAAATGGAGGGTGGCCGGTCGCGTGAGCCGTGAGTGAGAGAGAACGAGTCTGGCAGTTAGACGTCACAACCCCCACGAGGAGGGCTTTAGATGATTACCTATTCCACTCCTATCGTAATATCATGCATTCTGATTCCTGATCCTCGATTTTTAGGCTTCGTTTGGATCCCAAGGAGGGGTCATCATTGGCAGGGTCGGGCTTTGCACTTGTTAATCTGTTATAAGGGCTATAGCCTGGGCGTGGCCCAGGTTCCGGGCCTAAATCTGAAACATAAGCCCAGGCCCGGGCCGGGCAGGGCCTGATTCCGGGACTATAGTTTTTATCTATAAAGCATTAAATATATATTATTATAATATGTTATAAAATTATATACATAAATAACACACACATATAAATATAAATATAATATATAACAGCGGAACTTGTTTGATGCATGGAATAATTACCACAAGGAAGGAATGAAATGTTGTTTAAAATAATTCATCTTTATTTTAGAATTTGTTATAAAAATAATTTTGTAATTTTGTAATTTGGGTTTTAATAAAAATAATAAATTACTGCTAATTACTTAATAAAATAATTATTTTTCTATGTCATCTATTAGTGTTTTATTTTATTTATTTTACTTTATTAATGATTAAATTATTACAATTTTTGTAAATATTATTTAAATATTTAAAATACTTAAGTTTTAGTAAATATATAAAAATAGGTTGTAGTCATAATTAATTTAAGCCTGAGATCGAGGTTTAAGACTTTGGATTGGGCTTGGGTTGATCCCCAACCTGACCCAACCCGCAAAAGTTGCACCCCTATGACTAAGAGCAATTTGACGATCGTAATTGGACTTATCCAAACCAAGTACAAACTATGCATGCATTATTTTTGGGTTTTTGACTTTTTTTTTAAATATTAATAATATTGAAACCAAAGGAGTTGTGGGGGATGGGCCACCCCTGTTATGTAGCTCAATAAACCAAAAAAAAAAATCTTGGACCAATTTTTGATAATGCATTAACAATTTTTAAGGCTACATGGCCTAGCCCAACATATACCCCAAGCATAATAAATAATAATAATTGTTTAAGCCTAGAGCACAGATTGTCCATGTTAATTATAAAACTATAGTTTTTTTTACAAATTAAATTTTTTATTTAATGATAGTCTACTATGAAAAAAATATATAAAATTTATATCTATATATTTGTACAAAATTTGTTATCTAAATATTATATAATAATATTTACTATATACGTAATTTTCAAGTCAAGTTTAGGGGTTGCTTAGCTTGGGCCTTACCTAGTAGGGCTATTAATAGACTTTGAAAGTCTAATACCCGATTTGACTCCAAATCCAATTATCCCCGATTTGGATGTTAGAACTTGTATCCAATTAATAATTAGATCAGATATGGTTTTACCCCATCCGATCTCATTAAAATCCAAGTCCAATAAAAGATTATTATTTTATGTATATACGTATACATAGTATGATTATGTACACATATAGATATTATCTATAATTATATAAAGTTTATAATTGATAAATTTAATATTTTATATTTATATACATTTATTATACATATATACTTTAAACAATTATTTTTTGATCATTTTAAAAATGATAAGATGGTTGCAAATAAACTCCAAGTCCAAATCAAAATCAGACATAATAATTGGATGTGGATATGGATGAAATTGCATCCAATCTAAACTTGATCAATTTACAGCCATAGTCCTTGCATTATATGTAGGTTTGGTTTAAATCCAAACTAGACCTAGCTTGGAAGAAAATCATTTGTTGAGCTCAGAAATTTGTAGGTCTAGCATGGTTGAGTTAAGTTATAAACTATCATCCCTAAGTAAGAGGAGTCTTATGACATTTATAATTGTGTCATTATTAGTTTTATTATTTTGAATTACTTTTTATAATTGTTATATGGAACTCAAATTGTTTCTTTTATTACTTTTAATATTTTTTATTTTTTATTATCAATTTTGAGTATCCTATTAATATTAGTTATTTTTCAATAGAATTAAAATATATTTCAATTTTTAATTTATGAACTATTAATTCTTATTAATTTCTTAATTTCTAATAGTTTCTAGATAAAAGCATGCTAAAATTTAATATTTTTGTTAACTTTTGTTTTTTTATTAATTTTAGTTATTGGGTTTCAAGTTATAATTTTTTTAACAATTAACCAATTAAATAGAAATTGACTATGAAACAAATAAATGGAATTTGGATTAGAGTAAAATTCTTTTTCTTTGGAATACAATATGCTAATAATTGAAGATGCCTATAAAAGTAAATGGATTTTTTTCTCTCTCTCATTTTTTTGGTGATTTAATTATTTGTGATATTTTTGTTAACTAATTTTTAAACTATTATTTGTTTACTAGCTAGGTTGGGCCCATGCCAACCTTGAAGTATTAGGCCCAAGCTTGGCCATGAAATTTGTGAGCTTGATGTGGGCTAGGCCTAAGCAAGACTAAAATGGTTACCCCTAAGCAAATTACTTTTGATTTATTAGATTAATGAGGAGAGGTGAAAGAATAAAAGAAAAAATGGCAAATAAATATAAATGAAAAGGAAAAAAGAATCAATGAATTTTAAGCAATTTAATGGAATAATTGAGAGGATAGAGGATTAGTAGAGAAAGTTATTAGAGGAGAGATAGAGTTAATATAATAATTATTGAGGAGAGATAATTAAAGGAATTAACAACAAAGAGAAGAGAGAGTTGATTAGTTAATGGTGAGTTAATAAAGAGAGATGAAAGTGTTAAAGACTTGAAGTAAACTAGCTACTCAGTTACTTTGTTTAAGTTTACAAATATATGAGTAAAGGCTAGAAAAGAGATGCCTACTAACATGGCATGCTCAATTTTAATATATAAATATAGATTGTATCATGGTTTTCGAACTACTGTTGACCCGGATGGTTGGACCGTTCAGTCCGGGAACTATTCAGGCAATCAGTTTTGTTTTACCCCAAACCCGGTCTCTGGCTAAAAACCATTGAATCGGTCAATGACCCGTTGATCCAAGCAATCGAACCATTAACCCATTCGACCTGCCCATTCAATAGTTTTTGCCATTTTTAAATTTTTAAATTTTAATTTTTAATTATTTTTTTATTTTTTAATTCATTTTTTCATAACAGGCCATCCATTCAAACCGAACGATTGAACCATTGACCAGAAATCGATTTCCGGGTCATTTTTTAAAACATTGGATTGTATCAATTAAATTATAGGCTTGTGCCCATGCCATACTTGGATGAAAACGATCACCCTTATCCCAATTCCAAGGGCAATGGATTTGAATCTTGATTCCCCTCAATTCCGTAGAAATGGAAATGAAATGATTAGTCCTCCGATACTTGGATGAAATGTACTAAAACCTCATGTAGTTTCATGCATTTGGTTGTAGTGCAATTGTATTTGCATTAATACAAATGCATGCCGGTGCAAATGAAAATAATGCAACTTCTAGTTTAATTTGATTTGGGTTTTACTTTAATGCTTCATGTCTTATTATACTTCATTTGTACTGAAATCAAATAAAATCAAATAGAATAAAATAAAATTTGAAAATTAAATCAAAATTTGCACCAAAATCATTTGTACTAGCATAGTTTTGTATTGATGCAAATAAATTTGCCTTCAACCAAACACATATGATTCTTTTGAATTCTGTTTAATTTTATTTTGAATTTTACTTTATTTGTATTTAAATCAAACAAAATAAGATAAAATTTCAAACAAAATTAAATCAAATTTTACACTCTAAATCATTTGTACTATCATAATTTTGAAAACAAATAAATTTCCACTGCAACAACGGTTTTAGACTTTTAGGGACTGATTCCTTGTGAGTTGTACTTGGGGTTAGTGAAAAAGGTGTAAATTAATCAAAATGGTTGGAAAATTGATGGGGGCTAACCGGCTATGTGGAACTTAAAAAAAAAAAAAAAGAAAGAAAGAAAGAAAAAGAAACCCGGCTAAGTGAAAAGTATGAAGTAAGCTTAGACAAAAAGAAAAATTAAAAAGAAAATATGAAAAATGAAAACTTTGACACTCTTTATTGATTCGCCCAACAAGGGATGCGGCCATGAAGTTTTATAACAATTTGAATTTCTTTTCCTGGACGGCCTCTATAGTCTCTCCCAATAATATCAAACAGCCCTTAGGCTAACTTCGTTGCATCAAATCTTCTTTTAGTACAGCAATAAAACAATCAGGAGGTAAGGGATTAATAGTAATAACAATGTGAAGTCGCCAAGGGACATCCCAAGAGGTGTCCAAGAGGATATCTGTTATCTTTTGCGCATCTTCTTCAATGTGAACAGGAGAGAGGTGGAGTTTCTTTGCCATTTGAAGTCCAGCTCTAAAAGCTCGTGCCTCAATAATGTTAAGACTAATTTTTATTGTTTATCCGTTGCACCATTCAATATTACAAATTAAATTTTCATGGATGCGATAGGGATGGCAAACGGGGCAGGTTCAAAAGGGTTTTGTAAATTCTAGAACCTATTTACCTCCCTAAACCTCCAAATCTGTATCCATCATAAAATTAATAGCAGGTTAGATTTTTAGAATCCAAACCCTTTCGGTAATGAAAATTTTAAACCCTCTCCGACTTTACTCTCCCTACATTCAAGGGTAAGGGTAGACTGGATTTAGAACCCGCATCTAATTTCTTATTATTTCTTGTTATATATAAACAATGACTAAATAAAATAACACAAATAAATAATAAATTTTCAATTATTTGATTAAAACATTAAAAAACAAATAAGTTATCAATTATCCTTTACATAAAATTCAAATTATTATTAAATTCAACACCTAGTACATAAAATTTATATGCTTTTCAATAATATGCGGGATGGAAAGGGTTGGATTTAACCTAATACCATATCCTACCCGTACCCGTATGGGTTGTAGACTCCCAAAGCCCATCCTTCAAGCAAAACAAAACCCACCCCATCGAGAAGCGTAGGGGTGGGTACCCACTAGGTAGGGTAGCAATT